TGTTTGCATGTATTCCAAATGTATATTTGATATTTTAATGCCAAGAGAAATTGTTTCAAAAGTCCAAATGTGAAATAAAGATTCTTAAATATCCCATATCCTATATTGTCTGGGCAAACTGCCGACTTTCCATTAAGTAATTATAGTTTTCTGTGATTTTTACATCTACATCGTGGTGTAAATATTTAGTGACACTGTATTTGCATTAATTCCTATAAATACTAATATGCACACAGTTCTATAAATCACACAAGTTGTCTCAAACATAGTTAATAGATTTCTCACATTTACTCTTAGATAATTTACTAGGCTTGCTTTTTCTCTGCACTATATGAGAAGGTCATTGATACTTTCCTTTTGAATATCTAATGTTTACATGTTCAATAATCTAGTCTTATGTGTCGAATACTGAGTCAATAAAATTTGTTCTAAAATTAATGTAATCTTGCATGTTTTTATTTCTCCCTGGGTTGCCAACTCATGTCTGTCTGCTTCACTACAAAAAAGCTCATGTTAAACAAACAAACAGATTTAAAAAGGCTCATTAATGAAAGTTGACTGCAGTTTTTGAAATGGTCTTGCACAATAAGATTGATTTTTGTCAGAAACCGGTTACTTGTTGTGTGATCCCCAATTAATTTGCACGCACAAGAGGTACTGCAACACTAGGGTTAGCTATTTTCCTGAGACTACGAAGGCATGTATATTATAGGATACATACTAAAGTAGCAAACAGTTTTGTTCATATTAGTCATAAGCAGGTCATAGCTGACAGCCAGTATTTGCTCAGGGCAAGTGTACCTTTTAGATCTGTTCTTTGTACCATTGACTGCCTGATACTGCATTTGTTCAGCGTAATGCAGTATGGCTTGTCAAATTCTTTAATAACTTAAAATAATGCTTTCTTATTTGTACTAAGCATTAGGTCCAGCCAATGATACACATGGAAGCTAAAATGCTGTCTTGTCAAAAAAGTCCTTTGTGGAAGGACTTAAAAAGTCTGCAGAACGCTGCAGTGGGAATCTCCATTGTAAAGCATGGGATTGAGAAAGTTTAAAGAACCTTACAAGAATTAGATTTTTTTTTTCTAGACGCTATTTGTTGCCACTTATGAAAGTTATGTCCCTAAATAGGGTCCCTAGAGACCCTGGATAGCTTCATGAAAACATGTAGTAAACAACTACTTAACTTTAAGCATCTGTATAAGTGATTTTCTAAAAAGGGATCATTTTAAGCAAGTTACATGTTTACTGATTTAGGGCCTATATCTATCTCCAAGATTGACCACGGTCTGCCACAACATCAGTTGTAACTAGCTGTAATACTATTTTTCTCTAATATTAGGCATAATAATAAAACTAGTATTGCATGCAGTACCCTCTGATTTCTGACCAAAGCATTTTCTGCTTGGTTCAAGCATCCAGGGACTATGGTAATTCCAGTCAATTCCCTTCTAAAGTGTGTACTCGCATCAATTCTCTAGCATATTTTAAAAGGAAAGAAGCTTTTGTTCATACCACAATTCTTCCCACTGCCTTGTAAAATAATTAAGTGTTACAAAGGGAGGTTTGTTACATGGCTGCTAAAATTGTTGTGGCCAATTCTTTGCAAGAAATGTATACAGAATAACTTTTTTTTTTTTTTTTTTTTAAAGCAATGCAAGAATAGGTATTGCTGGAGTAGTGAGCAGCAGTCTTGAAAAGCTAGGTAGCTGGGGTCTATTACGCCTGCTACAGTGAACCTCACCAGAAGAGACTTCTCCAGGGAAGCTGCAGCTAGATCAATTGAGCAAGTCCCTCCCATGCTCAGTGAAGCCAAGGGGGAGAATTCATCATCATTCCCCTTTGGCCAGAGATTGTAGCCCACAAACCTGATGGGATCCTTGGGGATTTGTGGGAGGGAAAGGTGATTCACAAGGAGTCTATGATCAAACAATTCGGACCACATTCTTGAATAACCATGGTACTAAGACTTCCCTCTGCCATGGCCTCCAGTGGATGAGGCTGTGTCAGGCCCAGGAATGGTACTGTGTAGCTCTCTTTATTTAAAATGTAAGTAACTAGCTGTAGAAAAAAAGGAGTTGTTCCACAGATCCAGGTGTAAGGGATGCTGTGCTGCTGTTGTCACGTGCCTCACCACTTACACAAACAGCCCAGTGTTTACATTGCAATTGTTTAAAAATGTTTCTGACCTTTATTAGCCTTTCCAGTTTGGCTGCTTCCCAGCTGTTGTAGCTTTATTCCTCCTCAGCTGGCTTTCTCCAGCTACCATCAGAGGTTGTTCAAATTCTACAAGGGGACAAAATCCTGAGCAGCCTCATTTGCTAACATGGTCTAAATTTCGACACTAGTTATGCAGGCAGATCAGAACCCTCTTAACGAATTCATTTTGGACCCCTGGATATGTAACACTATGGTTTAAATTACACCTCACCAGAATTTGGGTGTTTCAAATAAAAGTGTAAGAAAGCTTTTGTTTTACCATTGACTTCTATGAAGCCAAAATTTCAACCCTGATGTTTCGCAAGGAGGAAAAGACACACACACACACACACACACACACTCTGACCCCTGAAGTTTAACTATCTGGGGGAAACAGGAGCTCATTTTCAAAGAGTGGCTCTCTATGCAGATCCTCTATCAACATGAATGTAAGCAGGTCTGCTTTCTCTTGGGAGTCTGCAGCGCTGCAGGGAGGTATTGCCTGTGCAAGCTGTCTGTCACTGGTCTCAAACAAAACTCTATATTGCCAACCAAGCCTAAACTACAGGTTCCCCTGCAATGAAAAGTGCTTATGGGCTGTAAAGTGTCTCTCTCCCAATTCATCAAGTAAAGAAATCTGAAGACCCTCAGAGTCTATCACATCCCCTCCGTTTCAGAATCTGCATTGGCTGCAGAAGAGGATTTTAGGGTCACTCTAACCTGATTGGTGGCAGGTGAAATCAGTGAGCAGTTAAGACTTAAAGGGCCTCTTCTCATGCATGTAAAAAGCAAGCGAGAGAAAATGCCTTTCATCAGACCTAGGCAAATGCACTTAGTGTTCTTAGTGCTTGTGTTCAATTAGTGCTTGTCTAACATCTCTCCCAACTATACAGTCCAATAAATGATATTACCCAAAAAATCCTTTCCTCACATATATATTTCCTGAACTATCAGGCCTACAACAACAACCCAATCCTCCTTGACCCAACACAGCCAGTCATCTCATGTGGAAAGTTATCCAATAAGATAGGGACATAACGGGCACACTGTGGCCACTATATGAGTTGAGATTCCCAACTGGCTCACGCAGTGGTCTGATCTGCTGTGGCAAATCCTTGGCAGAGAGAAATTAGATTTGGAATTGGAAAATCTTAAATTGATGAGGCAAAACACAATTCCCTCCTTCCCTCCACGATTCTGTTAGCCGAATGCAAAAAACGTAACATTATTCTACATCATACCTGCAAGTAGCTATGGCAGAAGAGAGGAACTGGTATTCTTTACTGGCCTGTCTGTGAAACCTTAAACTTTCTTCCAAATGAAAACATCGCCTTACCAGTCCTGCCAGAATTAAATAAACAACATGTTACAACATATAAAAGGGCTAAATCCTCTCTCAATTAAATCAAGCCTTAAAGTAGAGAGGAGTCATAAGGACAGAACTACTGCTCAGCTGCAGGTGGAGAACCAGGGGTGCAGGATCAACAAAGGTCTCTTCAACACCACCCCTCCCGCCCCAGCTTGCAAAAGGCACAGCCCCATCCAGCAAAGAGAAAGAGGTAGCGTGCACGATGCTCCACCTCATGGCTGTATGGAGTCCAACTATCCGGCAATTATCCTGCTACTATGAGGACTGTGTGACCACAGGCAGACGGAGCTCCGATACAAACTGTACGTGCACCACATTTCCAAGCAAAGAGACTTTAGCTTATTTGTGGGTATGAGGAAAGCACAAGACAGAGGGGATATCAGGCTTTCTTAGTCATATACAAACTTTAGGAATAAAAAGAAACCAATTTTCTTGTTTTAAGAAATTCTGCCTCATTCAAATTTCATGATACCGGAGCCTAGTACAAACCCAGTATAAACCCAACCTGATTACAAAGCAGGCTGTTAGCAGACTTCAATTTAATTAGATATATTATCAATATCTAACTTGCAAACAACACATTGGAAATAAAACATTTCTGTCATCATAATTTTACAAACATCATAAATGATTTGCCTATGATATTATAATTGCCCCCAATTGCACTCAAAAGGCCCTGTGGGGACTAAGTTTTCACAGGGCTAGGTGCCGTGCAAACACAGCCAAATCAACATCCTTGCCCTGAAAAGCTGACAATCTAAGAAATCTTGGTATTCAAATTAAAACAACTTTCAAATGTATATGGTGCAGCAAAGTTCAGATTCTTGTGCATTTAAGTACAGTAGTACATCTAGCTTTGGTGAGTTTTGAAGTAGGACCAAAATGCACCATACAACTTTGTTAGTGTGACGGAAAGTTGCCCATCTGCTGGACTGGAATAATCAAGCTGCTCAAATACATTTCTATTATCATGAACTTTATTCTTTCTCCTTAGTAGCAGGACATTTAAGTACCGAATATAGTATTCAGTATAGTTCCCTGTAATTGTAATTGTAATTAAACAAATTATTCCTTTTATCCCAGCTCAAATCAGCTAAGTATTTTCTTCAAGTGTCTGGCTGCTATCAAAGCACCATACAGGAGCATCAATATTTCATTGTTTGTGCACCAGATTGTCCACTAAATAGTTTCATCTGAAGGAACAAATGTTACAGCCAGGATTCTGCAGAAAGACTAGTGAGTTGAGGTGTTTCTACAGTTGAACACCAATTCAAAAAACCTTAAAAAAGCCTAATCTTCACAAAGTCCCAAGTACCCAACTCTCTGGGGACGCAAACACTGAGACATCCAAAAAAATTACTGAACTCCTTGAAAAATCTTCATGTACAATTTCAGATAATTTCAATGTGCACCATGAGATGTAGTCACTAAATTTTGTCTGATTGTTCAAAAAAAGACTGGAGGAAACAATCCCTCAACTCTCCAAATGCTGAAATCCACAAAAATGAGGGGATGGGAGAAAACAAAGCCAGTAGATAACTTTAGCTGCCTTCGCTGAAGCTTTGTATTTGCGTGGAGTATTTTTTTAGTTGTTCTTCACGTTCTTCTTCCCTTGGCTGCTGTTGGTAATGCTGGTACAATTTGGACCCGCTGGGCCCTGATCCTTCAATAGCTGGAAAGTGTCCATTGGACATACTAAGTATGGTGGAGGTCAGTGACTTAATATAATTTTTGGCCAGTGTGAGAGTCTCTATTTTAGAAAGTTTATTTTCGGCTCTTACATGAGGGATGACCTCCCGCAAGGCCTGGAAGGCATTATTGAGCTTGTGCATTCTTTGCCTTTCCCGTTCATTGCTTTCCAGTCGTCTCGACTCTCTGTCCTTGCTGTTCCAAAAATGCTTGGCCCTCGCTGCTGCAATCTTACTGCTTTCCTTCTTTCCCCTGCTTCTCTTTTCTTTCTGCCGCAAACATTTTACCAGTTCCTCTTCACTCGATCTTGACCCTTCTTTGTCAACTGTAAACTTACGCTTCTTTCCTTTGGTTTTGGTCTTCATGTTTCAATAAATGAGGAGGAAATGTGATCTCCCATTAAATGAATCTTCTGGTGCTAACCATCAAAGCACTGTAAAAACATGACACAAACATCTTTAGCTGTCTGTTATGTTTCCTACCAAACAAATGGAGAGTTGTAGCGTTGGCTCATTCTGAATCATCCAGTTTCATCTGGAAAGCTGCCAGCCCCTGTGTGAATGGAGACAGTGGAGAATCCCTCTGCAGAGAATGACAGTGGCTTCTTCTTGCAATTATAGGTAGGGACCTACCAAATTCAGGGCAGCTGCCCCCTGATAATGTGCTGCAAGTGCAGCACTGGGCACCATTTTTGCGGTGGAGCATGGCGGGCTTCCCCCATGCCTCTGATTAGCCAAGGGGCCTTGGAAGTCCTGCCCCTCCCCAGACATCGACAGATGACCATTTGCTAACAGGACAGCCATCTGCCAATCTCCAGGGAGGGGAGGCACTTCTGGGGCCTTTCAGCCAGAGGGGGGAGGGCCGCCGTGCCGTAAAAATCTCTCCCTGCTCTCTCTCTCTCCATGCTTCAGGATGCCAGGTCTATCTGCCCTTTTCTGGGTTTTTCAGCTTTTTTTTCCCCTGCTCACTGCTGATTTTCACCTTTTCACAGTCCCTGCGCCTTTTCCCAGGTACCAGGCTTTCTTGTGGAGACCAACTAAATTTGCAGTTTCCGCAAAAATCATGACATCGTGAATTCAGTAGGTCCCTAATTATAGGCAAAGAGCTACAAAGGTCAACTGAGTAGAACTAAGTTCAGCACGTGTTGCCAGCTAACACCCTTAGAGCCTGACACTGGAAGCAAGCGCATCTTGGGGAGACGTAATTCTCCCCATGCTCTTCCTCCAGTACGTCTCACCAAAGCTAGAGGGACTTCCCCTACACATACATACCATAGTTCATGGTGTATAAGTTGAGGTTTGGAGATAAATATTTACCTTAAAATTTGTCCCTTGACTTATACACCATATCAATACTTTTGACCCCCACCGCCGTCTCAACCTTCCTCACCAACAGCATCGCTGTCGCTGGAGGGTGCATGGGGGCTGGTATAAGCTGACCCCATATTTCTGATCCAAAAAGTTAGGTTGAGTTATACCCCAGATCCAGAGAACTCCTAACTTTTTTGATCTGAAAAAATGGGGTCAACTTATACACCACATCAACTTGTACACCATGAAATATGGTTCTTAGACTGTGATTAAGAGAATGGTTTCCTTCATTCACAGATCTCTCTGCCAAGAACAATTCTGAAGCAGAAGCCAAATGAGTTTTGTGACGTGGAGCTGGTCTGAACCTATTGTTACATCAGGTCCGTAAGTAGACAGAAGTGACAGTGCATTCTAGCAACATCTAAATCCAGTGCAAGGCACAGTAATAGCTGTAGTGCCCTTGGGGAAAAGAGTGGATTTACATGCTGGATTCAGACACTGCCTTTCTACTTTATAGATTTCAAAAAACAATAATATGATTCTTAGCATGAACAAACCAAAAACCATGTTGCATAATGGGAAGCATGACTGTCAGCAGCAGCTTAGTTATAAACTCCCTTTCTAGCTCTCCACATTTCTCCCAATTGCTTCCCTTTCCTCCTAACTCCTCTGCCCCAGGGTGCACCAAATCCATGTGGCATGAGGGCCCTAAACATACAAAGAAGCATTTCAAACTAGAACCCTGGTCTTCGTCTCTAAAAAATAAAACAGGTCTTTTCCCCTTCAACATGTTCACGTGAAGCAGGAGGTATCTTATGCTGTTTGGAGGCAGCCCCAGATTAGTGAGCATCACCCATTCACTCACAAAGAAAAGTCAGGATGTACTTCTCTCTCTCTCCAAATGCCACCCGTTTCTCCTCTCCACCCCCTCCCCACACCTTTTGAGTTCTCCCCCCTTGCTTCCCGGGTCACTTCCCCGCCTCCACCCCTTCCTTTCTTGATACCCTCACTCCCAGCTAAGCTTCTCAATATTTTCCTCCTTCTCTAGATGCTACCCAAAGTTCAAGAGCCATTAATTCAAGGATTTATTCACTTCTCATCCATAAATAGTCCGTTCACAGACCAGTGCCCTTCCCCTTTGTTGTTTGCTTTTAGTCTCACCTTTGAAGTTCAGGCTACGTCAGCAGAGTATGCGGCTGGTAGAAAGCTCGGGCTGCTCCTCAAAGTTTTCTGGGCTGTTGTCCAACAACACTGTTGCCATCTCTAGCTGTTGCACATGGAGGGGAGAGATGGTTGTAATCTGCGCTCGGAGGGCATTAGTCTAACAGAGCTCCCGAATGGCCCAGCACTAGTGGAGACCCCGACGTGCCACAGAAACTGGTACAATGGAGCGAAGGAGAGAGCGTCCTCTCCTGCTGCACCGACCATTGGCCTAATGGCAGCGGAGGGTCAGTTTGGTCTGCCACTGCCCTCTACACCCCCAACATGCACACCCCATCTGACACGGGCAAAGCCTGCTCTTCTTTTACCCGCAGACCTACAGAAAGGGAGCAATCCCTCCAAGCTAACGAGCCACAGGACAGGTGAGACCCCCATCCCATGCTCTGCGTCGGAGCCTGGCATAACGGCATCCGTCTGGCAACGCCACCCCCTCCCCCGCCCATGATCGGTGCTAACGCTGGCACAAACGCTTCCATTTGGCTCAAGCCTTCGGCCCTTAAAGGCTCAGGTTTGGAAAACATTTCTGCGATGACTACTACACGTGCGAGCCCAGAGCTGGAGCTGCCTGTCCTCCAGGAAAGGCAAGGAGGCGGCGCCGCGCTCCCACTGCCCGCCACCGCAGACGCCCCCCGAGATGGCTTTCGCACCTCTCCCCTCACAAACGGGGTGCTCAACCCCAGGCCCGGCCCACGAGGCTCCCCAGGGCCGCGCGTTTGGCAGCATGAACGCCGGCTCCCCCACGCTCCCGGGGCCGGGCCCCACTGCCCGAGAGGCGCCCTCAGCTCCCCACACAGAGGCGGCGGCGGGAGCGGGGGCGGGCTGCAAGCGGGGCAGCTCCGGGACGCGCGGGACTGGGGGGACTGGGCTCCGGCCATGCCCGTGCACCGGCACCAGAACCGCGCTCGGGGGCAGCTCCGCGCAGCCCTGCCCTGCCCCCGCGCAGCGCCCGGCGCCGCCGAAGGCAGAGCCCCTGCACCAGGCGCGTCCCGCTGGGACCAGAGACAAGATGCGCAGAGAACAGGCCTCTCCTGTTGGGGAAGTGCCCACGATTGACCTTGGGCTGATAGATCAGGGCAGATGCCAGCTAGGCTCGCTAGCACCAGGGCTGAGAGAGACTTGGGGGGTCGTGACTGACCACAAGAGGAACATGAGCCGTCAATGCGATGTTGCAGCTGGTACAGCAAACCTACCTCTGGCTTCTCAAGCACATCTCAGGCTGTCATCCTCCCGCTGTCCTCGGCCTTGGTGAGGCCACAGCTGGAGCACTGCATCCAATTCTGGGCCCCGCAGTTCAAGGAGGATGTGGAGAAGCTTGAGAGAGTCACGCACATGATCAATAGGCCTTATGAAGAGAGGCGGAGAGCTATGGTACTCTTCAGCCTGGAAAAGCGCAGCCTGTAAGTTCATCAGGGGTGCGCACCAGGATCTGGGGGAACATCTGTTCACCAGACCGCCCCAAGGTAAAACAAGGACCAACGGTCATAAGCTCCTCCAAGACTGTTTCAGGCTGTCCAAGCCCCCGAGACCTGGAACAGACTCCCTCCAGAAGTGGTGCAGGCACCGACTCTGGACTCATTCAAGAAACGCTTGGATGTTTTATCTTGCTGGGATCCTTTGACCCTAGCTGACTTCCTGCCCCTGGGGCGGAGGGCTGGACTTGATGATCTTCAAAGTCCCTTCCAGCCCGAACGTCTATGAAATCAATGAAATATGAGAAGGGGGAGCTGGGGGCAGGCCAGGCTACCGCGAAGAACCACCACTTCCCTGTTGCTCCTCTTTTCAGGGGGCTCCAGCTCATGCTGTGGCTGCTTAAGGATGAAGCAGAGCATGGGGAAGTGGGGAGCCTGGCTATGGATTTACAGAGCCTAGCCCTACCCGGCTCATGCCCAGTGCATGCTTGACCTGCGCTCAGCAGCTTCGCTACACTCAGTCACGGTCCTGTCAGCCTCTTTTAACAAATCTGAGAATTCTGCTAAATACCGGTCATCCACCATCCCCAACAGCGCACAAGATGATGAGGACTGTGTTGAGGGTGCCACAGGCAGCAGAAGAGGCAGTGAACTGGAGAAGACAATGAGATTGGTTCCACGGCTCCTCACCATGCAGCGAAGGGGATGTTGTCTAAGCCTTACCTCTCCCTGAAGAGATTTGTTAAGAATTTCAACATGCAAACCATGGGGAGCAAGATCTGGTTGCAATGGATAGGTTTTCAAAATTATAAAAATGACAGAAAAAAATCGCAAAGCACCACTGTAAGGCTGTTGTCAAGTGCACCTCTATCACGGCAGGGGATTCCTTACAGACAGAATCAGTCCTTTTATAATGTATCATGAGATCCACAAACTAAATCACTGGTAAAAAAGCTAAGAATTCCCCACAGTCCTCTTTGTAACGGGGAAAAAAGTATGCCCAACTGCAATATTTAGACCTGATATCTAATTTTCAGTACACATTACAGGATTTAGGTTCTGCCCTTTAGGCGGATAGCATATTTACAAAAAAATAGGTAGTAATTGTAGCCTGAGTAACATGCAAGTTTTTTCCCCCAATAACAATCTGTTGAGTTGCCACCGAGAACTTACACAAAGAGAGCTGAAGAATAGTTCATTAGTGCATTTAATACATATAATAGTAACTTTAAACAATTCAAGAACAGTTCATCCATATTTTCACTCTGTATTTCAACTGATGTCTTCAAGTCAAAAATCCAGACTTATGAGGAAAGAGCGCACAAGCCTGTGGTGCTGCAATGCCATCTGAGCTCACAGGCTGAAAAGATTTCAGATAGAAGAGTAGACTTCCAACTGAGTACCAAGCTACTGCAATAAGTAAAATTGTGATTCAAGAGGCAGAAC